TCTTTTCGTCCGCGGTACGAGCAGCAGCTTCTTTTACCGAAGCCGGCAAGTACGTAGCAGAAGGACGAATGTGAGTTGTTGGAAAGCGTAAAAGACGGGACTAGAAACTGTGCACGAAAGATCTTATCGGGACAGAATGAATAGCGTGTGTTGGCGATAAAGTGTCTGTTAAAAAAAGAAAGAAAAAAAAAGAGAAATAGGAGAAGAGAAATGAAAAGAGAGAGTGGGGGGGAATTCTGGTAGTGTGGCATTTGGGAATAAATGGCAGCCATGTTGCCAGGGAAAAAAAATTCGCCTGAAAACAGAATGGAAGGCTTTACGTATACATGATGCGTTCTTTTTTTCGCTTCTGTTATTCCAGGAGATGGGAATGTCAGCTTCGAAGAGTTCGTGGAAATCGTGAGCAATATAGGAGCCAACGAAACCGCCCCCACCGACCAGGATCAGGAAGAGCAGGAGCTGAGGGATGCGTTTCGGGTACGTTTTACCTTTTATCTTTGCCTTTTGTTCCTTGAAAGCCCGACCCGCCGTTGTTTCAACAGGATCGCCAGCATGGAAAACGCGGGTAGATACGATTTCAACGAACGACCAGGCCGTTTGTTTAACGATTTAACAATCGCCTGATATCGTTCGTACGTATCCGCCACGCGTTCTCTGGCCGGATAATTTCGGCCGGATCGTTTCAAAGCGGTCCGACAGCACACGATTTCTCCTATTGAAATTGGGGAAGAATTATGAGATTTAACACGCACACACACGCCGATGGAAATCGGCGCGGGTAATCCGAGTGTTCGTTGTAGGACTGTTAGAGATACCAAAGGTGCAATGGATGGATTTATTGGGCCAAGTTGAGGGTATGAAGTAGTATTAGTCCTGACGGAAGATGGGTCGAAGATAATTTGCAAAGTATATAAAATTTGGGGTGGAAATAAATAAGGAATTTCATAGGTGGATAAGTTGGAAATTTGAATATTTGAAAATTGGAAAATTGGAAACTTAAATATTTGCAAATTTGTAGATATTAAGAGTTAAATATTTGGAAATTTTTTAACTTGCAAATTTCTGAATTTGAAAATTTTAATATTTCACAATTTTAAAGGTGGGAAGTTTGAATACTTGAACAATGGAAAACTCAAATACTTCAAAATTTGGAAATTTGATTATTTGAAAACTTAAATATTTGGAAATTTTTATATTTGAAAATTTAAAAGTTCGAAAATTTAAATATTTGAAAAAGTTTCAAGAGGCAACATCGTATGAAAGAAATCTGCTTTATCAGATTTTCCATTATCGAAACAAAGAATGACGTCCACATGGCTCCTATAATAGAACCGCTTTATTTGTAAAGTACTCTCGACCACCTCGATGTTCCCCGTGTGTGGGAGGAGGATTCATACGCAGTCAAGTCCGCGTTCGCGCGCTTTGAAATTTTCGGCACACGTTCGCCTGGGCGAAATGTAAAGCCCCGATGACGATACCCTGTATTCCTATGTGCATACATATATAATTTACTGCCTCTACGTGAGATGTAGTTGATCCGTTAAGGAAAACAAATCTCTGCGAGAACGAACTTCACGGTAGAAGCTTTACATTTCAAATGACGTAGGATACGGACACTGGCTTTATCTTCGTTTCTCCAGAAAATCACGTCAATGCGACCAGTTTTCCTAACAACACAAAACATAAATCTACTCAACCTTATTAACCCCTTGGTAATACAATGACGTTTGGGAGACATGGATCATTTGTTTTGTGTGTCATCGTAGACTTTGGCGTCTCCGAGACGTCATGAACTTTCTTCGACGCGTACCAAAAATGAATACATTATCATTATCTTTTTTTGTTTGAAAAATTTCATTCTTTACAAAGCTGCAGATGTTTCACTTAATAAAATTACTTCGTTAGTGTCCATTAACCCTTTGGACTCCTTCGTCGAGTGTGACTCGACATCAGTTTTATTCACAGGGATGAATGAAGTAATTTTTAAATTGCCAGTTTAAATATGTATTATATTTTGCAATACTTTTTTTACCTCGATGAGCAATAGGTACACATACGTATGACCCTTAATGCTATTTTCAATATAATTAGTAAAAAAGAACAATAGTTTTAATTGGTTCCTATCGACCAAATGTCTTTTGAAGTGCATTTCAAATAGAATTCTTAAAATAATAGGGTGTTATTGTAAAAAAAATTTATTTTAAAATTTGTAGTTCAAAGGGTTGATATTGTATGTCAACCTTATTAAATGATATTCACCAATACAAATATTCCACTCTGTTTCTAAGTTTATACAACTACTTAGTCCAGCCGAATTAAATAGTATTTTTCGATCGCACCGAACTCCGTTTTATTTGTATGCCAAGGGGTTAAATTCCAACTATTTTTCATTCTCAAACCGAATCATTTTATTCTTTATATTCGTCTCTGCTGTATTTCCAATTCATTTCGACCTACATTCTCCTATAAAAATGAAAAAAAAGAACCCCCGAGAAAATAGAAAGAAATTTTTAGAATCAACGATTAAACACACCCTTTTATTCGAACCATTTACAACGCAGAGAATTACCCTATTCATCGAAATTCGCTGCTCTTCAGCATCTTGATTGTACAAGCTCGCAGATCGAACCTAATTTATGCGATGCCGAAAGAATCGTAAGAAGGGCGACAATTGCCAATGGTTAAGTAAATCGCGTCATCGAGGACGCAGCTCTTTGTTCCTTGTCATCGTCGCCGTTCGACGCGACTCGCGTTCAACTGGTGCATGCAGCGTATCGTAACCATGCTTGAATACAAACGTTAATAATAATTGTCAGATAACTAGAAACGAACGACAGATTTCGTTGGAAGGTACAAAGCTTTGCGCGCAGCGCCTACGGAGTTCCCTACAAAGGAGCCCCGTCCACGTCGTTCCGCCGCGTTCTGACTGATTCCAATTAATTCTCGCACGCGCGCCACGAATTTGTCCGACGAACGTGCAACCGGCTGCCTTTGTCTGACTGGAATCGAAGATACGCCTAGGCGGCAGTCATTTTTGGAATGACCGACGCAGAAGAAACGTGACGCTGACCGAACGTTTTAATTCATTTAGTTATCTAGCTTCGGGAGTGGAAAGTATTTTTTCTGCAATTACGCCTTTCGTTTGAAAATTGATTTTGGGGTTGGTAACTTACGTAGGCGCACGAAAAATTCTGGTATCTTTGGAATTTTATAACGTGAAATCTATTCGTGTTATCGATATGAAACTTTGCATATTTATTTGCTTACGTTTTGTCATCTTACGTGAATTTTTTCGTGTAAATTTATTTGACAATTATGAAGATATGATTTATTTCTTATGACGTAAAAAAATTGCATTGGTAACTTGTGGCTTACAATTACAGTAATGTCTCCACAAGTGTCAGTCCGCAAGGAACCTAAACCTGACACTTGTAGAGTCAGGGACTACGTTTTCGAGCCTCGCGGCCGCTTTTGTAGTTTGCCGAAAGTAGACAAGGACAGCGAATAAAAGATAAGGATGAAACGTGAGTCGAGGCAACCAAGCGATTTAAATACCAATTTTTTTAATTTTACGTTTTTTTATCCCAAAATTTTTCTTAAAATATTGAGATTTTTCTGGTAAAAATGACATAAAACACGACATAATTTGAACAACATTTACTTATTAACACGTTCACTGTCACGCTAGATATTTCACTGTATTGAGATAAAACAGACGCCCTATATTACATTACATAGAGTCGGCCTACCGTTTGACTGCCAGGTGGAGAATTGGCCTGCCGTTTGACTGACACTTGTCGAATCGGTCCTACATTTTTTTTTTTCTTTTACGTGGAGGTAGGCCGACATTAAATTAATTACTCAATAAGTATTAATAAGTAAATGTTGTTCAAATTATATCGTGTTTGATCTCATTTTCATCAGAAAAATCTCACCAACCTGTTAAAAAAAATTTCAGATGAAAAAAAGTAAAATTAAAGAAATTATATTTTTCTATTATGAATTGTCCAGCCGTGAAATCTCGTAAAAGAAACCGAGTGGTGTAGCGTTACACGCTTGACTTCGAGCGAGATAACATAGGCGCAGCAATGACGCAGACCATCTATACTGACACTTGTAGAATCCAAACTGGCTGACACTTGTAGAGACATTACGGTAGTCTCTTTAGGCGCGCGAAAAACTAGGGTATCTTTCGAATTTTATAACATGAAATCCATTCGTGCTATCGATATGAAACTTTGCCTACTCATTCACACACGTTTGCTCACCTCCCACAAATTTTTTCGTACAAATTCATTCAATAACTATTTATTCCATCAAATAAAATTTTCTGAACCAAAAGCATCTCCGCCAATACACTTATCTCGCCAACAAACTACCAGAAAAAAATCAATTCACTACAAAATAGTAGCCATTCCGAGAAAACCAATGTTTCCAACTCTTTGAAAAGCTTCGATGTTAAAGAAATTCGTCTCAATAAACGGAACAGCAAGTTCGATCGTAGGAGACGTTTGAAAAAGCTCGACGTTGAATGTTTCTTAAGTTGTGCCCGTGGACGGTTTCTGCGAGTTAGTCGCAACACTTGCCTTCACGCCTTACATCCTTTGAAAAGCGTCGCGACGTGTCGGCGATTTTAAGCTGCTATGCAGCGAAGCGCGTTAAGTGGAAGCCTTTCATTCGACGGAAGAAACTAGGTCCGTCGAAGTCGTAGCGTGGCTCCCTCGACGCGACAGTCAGCCACTTTATTACCCCGAGACGCTTGTCCCTTTCCAGGGGGAAGCTTTTTCAAACTTACGCGTGTCTCTTTCAATTCCGCCTCGTCTCGCTGTTTCGAACCATACAGAGATCCTTTCCTCGCTGAACCGACTAAAACAGCGTGTAGTTGAATTAATTGAACATAATGTAGCGGTGGAATATTATAATTCGCAACCGTGGCTTGGAATAAAACGAATGAAAATTAGGTAAAATACTGGAAGACGAAGAGGAAGCAAGGTTCGTTCGTTTTGAAAAAACATAACTTGGTTAAAATGAAACAGTTTCATTTGAGGTCATTTCCATAACGTTTCGTACACTTTTAACGAAGAATCACGGGAGAATTAACTTCTTCGCGTTTGTGGACGAGATATCTCGCGAGTTAATGTTGTTTATGTGACTTTTTGGACGGGATATCTCGTCGAGAATTCAGATGAAAATCAGTTCGGGAGACTTTTCGTCTGTGGATGAGAAGTTAGTTTCGTGAATACAAATTCAATACAATTCGTATTTCTAAGGGGAAGAAAGTGGTGAAAGACGTTTTCAATATCTTCCTGTTTCCTAAATCGTGTTTGCGCAGAGAAATTGTCAAGTAGGCGGAAAAAGTGAAAATCGGTTGGAGATACATCTGGAGAATATGAAGAACTTCAATACTCAGTTGACACAATTTTCGTACAGTTGTGGATAAGCAAAGGAATAGGGCCTTTTCTGTTGACCAGAGCTGG